TTGGAGAAGTATCTGATCAGATCTTCTGCCACATTTTGATTGGTTTGTTTTCTTTTTGTTGAGTTGTATGAATTTTTTGTATATCTTGTATATTAGCTCATTGTCAGAGAGATGATTTGCAAATGTTTTTCTTCATTCAGTAGGGTGTCTTTTCATTTTAACAATAGTTTCTTTTAGAAATGCAGATATATCTTTTGGTTTAATATTTAGTTCCATTTGTATATTTTTGCTTTTGTTTCCCTTGCCATTGGAGTCAGTTCCCAAAGACATTATCTTATCTGATATCACAGAGTGTTTTGCCTGTTTTCGTCTATGTAAATTATGGTTTCAGGTCTCACATTCAAGTCTTCAATTCATTTTTTTTTTTTAAAGATTTATTTATTTGTACATACAGAACTGGGGTACAGGTCAGAGGCTCAGGTGCAGTGAGAGGCTTCACCAGAGACAGAGTTGGGAGCAGAACAGGCAGATCGAGGAAGCACACTGCTGAGGGGAGCAGCGGGCGGGTCAGGAGAGGTCTGCCACGCCATGTGGTCACCTCCGGAGCAGGCGGGGATCGAACTCATGCGGAAGTGGCTTTAGCTTCTTAATGCTGTGCTTTAACCCGCTGCACCACCAGGGAGAGCCTCAGGTTTTCTATTTCTTCTTGATGAATCAAGAATCTTTGCAGGTTGTATGCATCTAAAAATTTATCCCTTTCTTCTTGGTTGTCCAATTTATTAGCATAAAGAAGCTCATACTAGTTTCTTATGATCCTATTTCCAAGATGTTTCTGATTCTATTTACTTGAATTTTCTCCCTTTATTTCTTAGTGAGCCTAACCTGGAGGTGTTTTTTTGTTTGTTTGTTTGTTTGTTTTTGTTTTTTTTTTAATCTTTCAAAGAGCCATGATTTTTTGGTCTCATTCATTCATTTCTAAATTTATATTTATTCCTTCTCCAATTTTTACTATTACTTTCCTTCTGTTGGCTTTTGTTTCACTTGTTCTTCTTTTTCTAGTTCTTTAAGGTGGAAAATTATTTGAGGTTTTTCTTATTTCATCTTATGTAGCTATGTTGCTATATATGTTCCTCCTAGTACTACTTTTGCTGTGTCCCATAGGTTCTACTAGCTCATGTTTTCATTTTTGTTTGTCTCCAGGTATTTTAAAAATTCTCTGACCAGTAACATGTTTGGTTTCCACAGGTTGGAGGTCTGTCCTACTTTATTTTTGTGGTTGATTTCTAGATTGATACCATTGTTGTCAGAGAAGATACTTAAAATGAATTCACGCTTCATTGATTTATTAACATTTACTTTGTGACTCAACATGTAGTTTTTGCTTGAGAATGTCCCATGGATAATTGAGAAGAATGTGTTGCCAGCTATTTTAGAGTGCAATCCCCTATAAATGTCTATTAAATCCATCTGATATAATGCCTTGCTTAAAGCTGTTGTTTCCTTATTTACTTTCTGACTGGTTGATCTATCCATAATGTAAGTGGGCTATTGAAGATCCCTACTACTATTATGCTGCTGTCAATCTCTATTTTAAGGTTTTTAATAGTTGTTTTAGACATACATTGATGAATGTATTATTTATTCATCATCATGATCCATAAATCATTGGATAATCTTTGTCCATATTTCTTGTCTCCATTTATAGCATACTTATTTTATATATGTGTAGTTGACCCAGCCTTTTTTCAGGGTACCATTTGCTTGTAGGATGGTTTTCAAACCATTTACTTTAAATCTGTGTTTATCTTTTGAGCTCAGATGGGTATCCTAGAGATATCAGAAAGTTGTGCTTTGTTTTCTAATCCATCTAGCCACTCTATGCCTTGTAACTGTGAGTTAAGTCCATTTACCATTGACATATGAGGACTTACTACTGCCATTTTGTTTTTTATTTCTGATTCTATTTATTTCCTTGTTCAATTTTTTTGTTGTTTTCATGCTTGTTGATTTTTATAGGAGACCTCCTTTCAACATTTCTCGTAGGGGAGCTCTAATGTTGGCAAAGTCCTATTGTTTGTCTTGGAAAGCATTTATTTTTTTTCTTCATATACTTCTTATCTGAATAAGAGTCTTGCAGAATACAGTATTCTTGGCTGGCAATTTTTAATTTCAGAGTATTTTGAATATATTATCCCATTTTCTCCTGGCTTGTAAAGTATCTGCTGAAAATCTAATGAAAGTATGATGTGAGCACCTTTATAAGTTATATATATACTATAGTATGTATATTATATATTTGGTCACCTTCAACATTCCTTTTTGTCTTGAACTCTTGGGAGTTTTACTACTATGTGTCTTGGTTAGGAGTCAATGCACTTAGATGACTAATGCACACAGATGACTAGATGTTTTATTAGAGCCATATACTTACATATTTAGTTCTTTCCCCACATTTGGGAAATTTTTCCTCTACTATTTCTTAAGCTCTCTATTCCCCATTTCTTTCCCCCTTCTGGGATATCTGTTATCTTTTATGTTGTCTTTCCTACTGGAGTTATACCATACTAAGGTGCTTTTTCTTCTCCTCCTTCTAGTTCTCAAAACACTCCAAAACTTTCAATTCTATTCTTTTAAGTGGTTATGAATATGTCTTATAGTACATGAACTGAATTTCAGTTCACACCCTATTGTGACCTTGGAGTTGTACTCTGATTATATAATAGACTTTAAACTTTACAAACAAGGCCTGGACCATACCTCCATTGTCATCTCACTCTGCACTTCTCTGTTTATCAGGACAAATACATCAGGCTTTCACAATGGCTTTAACTCACTTCTCAAGCATCTGTTTTTCCTTCACAGATGATCACAATTTGTAATTATAATTTATTTGTGAATTAATTTATTATCTTCTCACCACTTCTAGAGGGACCCTGATATCTGTCTTATCCCCAGCACACCAAGCATAGTTCCCACCACATAGGCAATTAAAAGATATTGGTTGAAGGAATGACAGAATGAATAAACTTCTAATTCCTAATTAATTCAACAAGAAAATAATTGTTATGGAGATTTAATACACAATGTATTAAGGAGTAATTTCAAAAACAGGCAAAACATAACACTTATACACTCATAACACTTTTAACACTCATACAAATATAAAATGAACATGTCAAAATATTTTACTTATTTAACCCACCAATTAAAGGAGGTCTATAAGATGTCACAACTGTTAAAAAAAAAAGTCACAACTGTTTCACTGTTTCAAAGAAAAATCCAAAGAATATATATCTGTAAATCAGGAATATTGAAATAAATCAGTAAATAGATACAAATTGGCTTTTCTGTGAGGAAAAAAAATTGTTTTGATATCTAAAAATGAGTTATTTGCATTACCAGCAGTTTTTTATAAATCAACCTTAATCTTTATAGAGTTGTAAAAATATTACTTTTGACCTGCTCAAATACTACTTTCATTTAATCAATGGTAATTCTAACTAATTTTTAGACCAGCCAAAGAACCTAGAAGGGTAGAAGAAATTTTTTCTTCCCTTATATTATGGAAATATACTGAGTTAGAAGGAGCTCTATTTCTCACAAGTGCAAAATATGTGTAATTCTTTGAAATGGATCTTGATATTTATTGGTGGAAAATATTTGTGAGCTCAAAGAATTAGTCAATATTTTAAAGTGGTTTAAAGCTGTAACTATAAAAATCAAACCTGAAGTATTAATTCATAAAGAGGCTTGAAGAGTTACAGTCTGGATCAGTAGTTTGTAAATCAAAGATAACAACGATTGGCCTGGAATGCTTATTTAGAGGTAATTGGACGGCTCCCATTCTAGTGGTTCCTGAACTTTGTATAAGCATCTCCTGCAGGCCTGAACAAAGGAGGTTCCCAGGTCCTGACCTCAGAAAATCAGACAAGACCAGGGGTCTCCATTTTTAATGAGAAATTCTCCCACCAAATGTTTCTGTGGCAAGTACACTAAAGATTTCTTTTTGGAATCATTGTTTTACAAGTGAAGTCCTTGTCAGCTCTGTAATCCCTCAGTGGTTATTCTTCTAAATTCCTAGAACACTAGACTAACCTCCTTAATAACAACATAATATACTCACTAGAGGTCAGAAGGTAAATGGAAATTATATTTGTCCCTGTTATAATGTTTGCCAGCTCCTTAAAGTTAATCCATCTTGGCACATAGTTTGTATACCCAGAATTCTTTACTTTTCCTTCTATTGTATGAGAGCAACAAGAAACTAAAGCACTATCAGAAGTTTATGTCAAGCACTCCCTAAGTTCCTGGGGTTTTAGTTTCAATACAATAGACCTATCTTAGTGAAAGATTTTGGCCCAGCCAGTAGAGTTTGTTCAATTATTCATTGACTTAGTCATTTGTTTAAATTTTTTAAGACAGTATCTCCTGTCCCTATAAAAGCATTGGCAAAATCTTATCATACCATACTGAAACAGAATGAGTTCTAGGAGTTGTAAAATGCTTGCACTAATTAACCATGTTGTCTAGTTGCACTAAAACAACCCATTAGGTCATTCATATATTCTTGTGATAGAAGAAATATCCAAAAATAACTTTATTCTACAAAATATGATTTATTATAACAACAAGAGAGTGATTTCAAGCACAATGATTTTCTTTCTTGAAGAACAAAAGGTTTTCGTTATTAAGATTCCACAACTGATTCTCTGAATTTTTAAAAGAATATGATCAATAATTGAAATTGAAAATATCATAAGTATAAATAAATTTTAGTTTGTCTTGAAATTATATTTCTAACTTAAAATGAAAATGTACTATCTCGGTACAAATTATTTCATAATGTGACTATTTGAAATGCCATTTTTTTTCTTGAGTTAGAATATGAGGCTCAAATAAACATGTGCTGTAGCTGTTTTTTCGGGCAAAGAATTAATAGTATATGTTCTCTCACAAATAAGAGAATAAATAGAGTAAGTTGCACTTGTGAAATTCATAGAGCTCAGACATTGTGGATAAGTTTGGAGTTAAATTCACATTCTTCTAACCTTCCTTTTTAGGGCTTTTAAGTCTGCTAGAACAAGGATTGATTCCACCAACAGCAAAGATTACCTTTCAAAACCCACCCATTATGCCGAGAGCAGCTCTTCTGCATAATTTTCATGAATCACATAGGACTCCAACTACTGGTATGTCAAGTCTCAACTATACACTAAGTTTGTTGGGGATACACAAATTGCCTCCCATCAAAATTTAGTCTTCTAGTATTCAACTTTTATCTTCATTAACAGGACAAATTGACAGTTGTAATGATTCTGAATTTAACTTGAGCAATGTGGTTAATGTGTTTCAACATAAGAAATCAGGAAGTAGATAGTCTAGGACCGGCGAAGCTTTTAGGGAGCATGATGGCTCTCTTTCAGCTTCACCTTCTTTAGCAAGTTTGATTTCATCTTCATGGCTCTAAGGTGACTGCTGCAGAGCTGGATCTTAATGTTACATTCTAGGCAGGAAGAGGGAAAACGAGAAGTACCAGTCTTCCCAGAAGCCCTTGAATGGACTACCCCTTACAGCTCAGTGGTCACATGGCCACTGTTAGCTACAAAACTGGGGAAGTGAATGCCCAGGGACAGGGAAAGGGTTAGGATTAGGATGGGATTATACCAAAAATGATCAATTATGCTTGGTCAATCAATTCGTGAAAATGGTATTCTTTCCTTGGATATTAAATAGACTTAATATTTGGTGCATATTTGTCTTTCCTTTTTATTTTTGTTTTCTGTTAAAGTTGGCAACCTGAGGTGCTGGACATTTTTTTTAAAGATTTATTTTATTTATGCTTACAGAACTGGGGTACAGGCCATAGGGGACTGAAATACACTGCTGAGGGGAGCAGGAGTGGGCCAGGAGAGGTCTGCCATGCCATGTGGGTCAGCTCCTTGTGCAGGGATCGAACTCTTGCTGCAGTGGCTTTGGAGAGCTTCATATGTGGTGGTTTAACCCATTGCACCACCAGGGAAAGCCCTCTGGGCATATTATTAACGTGAAATGACTGGGTTCTAAAATTAGCAAAGAAGAAAAAGGGGATAACTACTTCACTGATTTGTTATTAGTAACTACCACAGAAACATACAAGTTGGCCCAGAAAGGCTAACTTTTCTCCTCCCTAACATTTACCCTGGCAAAATTTATCATACAGATTTTTCCAGGAAACTGAATAGCAAATTAGTGCCGTAGGATACAGTTTTGTTGAAGATGCAGACATATTCTTCAAATGCATGTGTACCATAAATCCAAGGCTATACAAAGTTGTAATTTAGTGACAGAATTTCTGCAGTAACTAAGAAAAACTAAAAATATTCAGAGGCATCATTAATAGGATTATCCATGTGAATCTACATGTTTAGATCTTCAGCCTACCAAATTTCTTTGAAATTTTACTAAAATTATTTTAAAACTATGACCACTTGAAAACTTCTCAGCTACTACTTGTTTCAGTGTGGAAATTTATCTTAAGTCTCACTTGTCTTCAGACACCTAGAAGTTAAACAAAAAATGTGCCAGGCCTGCAGATAAGAGAAATATCAGGCTTTATGGATGAATGTGTGATTCAAAGCAGCCTGGGCCCACAGTGTGGACTGGCCTTCAGCAGTGTGAGGGCGCAGGCCAAGTGGGCAATGGCCCAGAAGAGCACAGAAGTCAAAACAAAAACTTGCAATAGGTTTTAAATGGAGTCTTCTTAGACTACTGCCACCTGCCCTGGCTTGGGGTGGGGGCGAGGGAGGAAAGGGAGACAGGCAGTCTCAAAGTCAGGAAGGCTCCCTAGAGGGCAAGGAAAATAAAATGGTGGCCTTCTGGGTAGGTCAGATGCAGCATGCCAATCCATTTTGTTATACATGCTTTAGTGATAAGACTCTGGAACTCCTGCTACTTTTTCAGAGATGGTTTAAGATGTTCCTTGCAACCACTTGAAGTAATATAAGTATACTGAGAACTTAAGGTGGGATTCTAAATTGTATACTGAGGTTTGCTGCATTTGATCCATATTTGTTGACCTTTTTTAAGATTGTTGTTATGGAATTGACAGAAAAGGGATGAACTAATAAGGTAAGTTTAGGGGGAAAAAACACACTTCTTTGACTCAGTTATCTATTTTTAAATAGTATTTTGTTTTCTTTCTTGGAAAGGGTAGTGTAAGGAACTTCCCTCCCTAAGAATGTCAGACGTGGGCTGTTGAGTTTGCTAACAGGAAACAAGGAGAGATGTGATTTCTTTCCTAAGTATTGGCTAACAGGTAGGCCTACTGGCCTTTCTTACCCCCACCCCAGTGTCAGATTTGTCCTCCATAAGTTGTTGCTTAAGGATTTAATGAATTTCAAAAATAATATGGTCTGTTTTTCACTGATATTATCTATCTCAAGTCATTTACATTCTTTAGAATTATCTTTTTTCATGACTATACAATGAAGTGGTTTCACGATATGTATTATATCAATTTACATTTTAAATAAATTCAGACTATAGCTATTTAAAGAAAAATATTGTGAAATATCTTAAAAGACAAATGTTAGTCTCTAAATTGCCTGCTTTTAGAATCTGCCTTTTCATCTAGGCAGTCTGCATTAGGTGAGCTGATCTTATGTTCTGATGGACCTGTTGTCGTCTTAAGTTTTTTATTTATTTATTTATTTATTTATTGGATGATCACAAATGTTTCATTAAATTGGTACAGAAAAAAACGGATAGTGAAGAATCAATATGTGACAGAACCACTTGACTTTCAAGCTGTTCAACCCAATAGCTTCCACCCAATGACACAACCAGATAACACTCATCACTTCTATCCACAGCTCCTTTCGTCTTACCTCAGAAATCACAGCTGATCCAAGAAGTGAAAAAGTTCTCTCCAAAGAGAAGATCAAAGGTATTCCTATAACTAATCAACAAAATTCTTATTTGACTATTCTCAGTGTGGTTTTTGGTAATATTATCGTTGTATCTTTCACATAGGAATAAATACTGTTTTAGCTGCTGCTGGGATACTTTTGCTTAAAGTGGGGTTGTTAGACAAGTAAGCTCTACCACAACATTGTAAGTGAGATCTAAAAAACTCCTTCATGTCTCATTATTTCAAGATTAATGAAATGACTGGGTCAACCCATACAGTTAGTTGCTTTAGAGTCCAGTGGTTTCGGATCCAGTCCCTATTGCTGTGGTATTTGGTATGTTAGTGTGGGGCATTACTCTCTTTCATTTGTTTTTAAGCATAAGATAAAAAAGCAAGCTCTCCAGTTTGGCAAGGATACCTAATGAGATACGGGAAGGAATTCTGTATTCTCTAAAATTAGGACCTCGCAGTTCAATATAATTCACCCTTTGGGAGCTTCTCCTGGTTTAAAGGTGCTGGACTTTGTCATTTGCTTTCTCATGTTTATGAGCCACAGACAGCCTTGTGATAATTGAAACTTTCCACCACAGAAAGGAGACAGCTGGCAGTGTCTTTTTCTGGGCTTACACTATGTGGTCATGTTTACAGCTGCTCACATTTTGAAAAAAAGGAGAGAAATTGGAGAGGGACAGAGAAAAAATTAATCCTCCTGTATCTACCTAGCAAACTGTTACCTGTTCTTCCCAGACCTTCATCTTTTTATGCCCAGATCTTCAAGCTGTTGACACTGTATTTTCAGCATTGGTGGACTATTTCCCCTTAAGATATTTCCAGGCTGTTTATGTAGCAGCAGGTCATGTGACACCCCAGTTGCCATGGCAAATATTTGTGTTTCATGAAAAATGTGGGTAAGAAAAAAATCAATGTAAATGGCCAAATCCCAAGACAGACAGGCCTTCAGGCTAGTGTTTGGCCTGCACCATTATTGTTTCAAATTCAGCTGTTTAACAGGCTGTGCGAAGGCCATGTGCTAATGTGCATAATGGGAACAGGCCGGGGCACCTGTTTTGATTCTCACCATGTTCGAGTTCTCAAGTTCCACAGTTTTATAGAGAGCAGATCTACAGGTAACACAAATATGTCTAGGCTTTTAGGCAGTAAGTGGTCTACTCCAAACAAAAAATTTTTAATGACATTTTTTGAGTGCTACTTGGTCTTGCTTTTAATATCTTCTACCTTCACTTCACAAAGCTTTCTCCTACTGCTAGGAGCAATAATATTTAAGGGTTCTTCTTTTCTATGGTCCCAAACTGGCACATTTCTAAACTCACTTTTCAGTGGTAAATATAGTTATTCATAAGTACTGCAAAAAGTATCCTAGCATGGAAGTTAAAAGGCTGAGAGATAGACCGTGATGAGCCTGGCCTCATAGCAGCACCAGGACAGACCTCTGATCAGTCTCCACCACTGGGTACTGTGTCCCACACAGAGAAATGCTTTAAATACTCTGTGTCTACCCTAGAAGTGGGACTTGGCTGTTGATTAGAGTTGCTTTTGTAAATATTTACTTTGTCAAACTCTTTCTTCAAAGCAAACAGGGCTCTTGGCAAGCAGAATGTCATTGTCTGGGGCAGGAGAGATCTCTCTAATTTTTGGCTTCTGCCTGACTGGAAAGAGGGAACAGGCTGGCCCGGCAGGGAAAGCTGAGGAAGTGGGGGAAAGGGTGGGGGCAAGCCTCTGTCTTCTATTTGTTTTGTAAAATTGCCCATGTGAATCATTTTGATTTAAGCTGTATCCTATCCTTCATTGTAGGGGAAAAGCAGAAGGTCAAGAGGACAACACGATAGGAAGGTCTGTAATTTGTGTAACTAGTTGAAATTTGGGCTCTGACACCTGATGTCCCATCCTTTTGCTGCAGGGCAAAAGTCTGGGAGGCAGGCTTGACAGCTGAAAATGACAACAACAAAAAATTTTTTTTGCTCTTCTTTTAATAAAAGAAATTAGATCATGCTTTCAGAAAGAAAGAAAAATGGTTCATTTAAAGTGAAAAGCATTTGGTCCCATTTTGGAAATGAATTACTCCCCAAGCTGCAGTCCAAACAAGTGGTTTAATATACTCAAAATTTGACTGAAATAACATTGAAGTCTTCAGCTTCAATCTAAGATTTTCATCTTTTAAAAGTATACATTGGCCCTCCCTGGTGGCGCAGCGGGTTAAAGCACAGCACTGAGAAGCTAAAGCCACTTCCGCATGAGTTCGAATCCCGCCTGCCCC